GCCTCCCACCCCGACCCCGCACTAAATACCTCCAGTGTAGGAGCCCCAACTTCTCCAAGGACACACGACTTCCACTCCAGACATCCCCTTACCTCCTAACATTGGTTCTTCGGCAGTAAACTAAGGGTGGGCTGACTCATTAATCCTCCTCGGACGTTTTAATCAGGGGCTTTCTTAAACTCCAAGGCACGGTTTAAGAGCAGACTTTTCAGACTGCCTGGGATGGGGTCAGCTTCCTAGCAGAGCGTTAGGAGAAAGGGCCCACAAGACAAGTGCTGAGTTCTGGTCCCGACTGGCCGGTCATTTGAGTCATTTCATTTTCCGCATCTGCAAACTTGAGCTGCACTCACCCCACTGCCCATTTCTCAGGGGTGTGGTGGCATCAAGTGACCTCGTGGACCTGAGCCCACCTTACAGCCATGTCCCGCGTGGCCCTCAGCGCGGTCCTGGCCTCCCACCCCGTCCCAGTTTTTCGGCCGCTTCCCAGCCACCGCGGTGGGACACCGAGGGGCCCACACTCCAACAACTGAGCCTTAGAAGCAAGGCCGAACCTGCCAACCAGGGTTCTGGGCAGAGCACCGCCCCTGCGGCTGCGGGGCCCGCGCTTCGCCCCGACTCTGTGCTAAGGGGGCTGNGGAAGCCAGATGTCTTGAGGAAGGAGCATCAGTCACACAGAGAGGACCTCTGCTCAGGACCACTTCAGGCAGCCAGGATCATGCCCTGTCTATTCCCCCCCCACCCAGCCCTCAGGAAACTAAAAGATTCATCTCTAGAGAAATTAACTCTGTCCAAAATAAAACACTAGTACTGATCTGCCCCTGAAAAGAATATGCATCAGGACAGCCTGGGCCAAACAACTCTGCCTGTTTACAATCAGCCCTTTTAGCACATTACTTATTTTGCTCCTATTGTGAACAAACACTCAGCTTGACTGGACATTTAATGAAAGCCTTCAACAAAAATGACAGAGGTCAAAAGTTCAAATGGAAAAAAGGAACTTGAAACAGACAAAGCAAAGACTAGAAAGGGCCATCTCAAAAAATTACATCACCTGTTCTCAAAAAATAAGAGATTGTACAACCGGAAAAGAACAGGTGCTATAAAAAGGAAGAAACGCATTTGACTTTCAGAGAATCGGGAAAGTGGTGAAGCAGCAAGACTTCATTTTCCCTAACATGAAGCCCTTATATGACCAAGAAGGGGCCATTTAAGCAGTTACTTAGGAATAGGGAGGTAAATAACACAAGGATCTGGTGAATGAATGAGGAAAGGGAATGAGGGACTGTAAGTCCGGAGAGAGGAAATCCCAGGGCAAAATACCTCTAAAAATCGAAATCAGTCAAAGGGAGAAATAAAGTTTAAAACTCATTTATTGCTCACTAACTGCAATCCCACACCATCTTTCTCCTCTGCTCTGGAAGAAGCCAGCCAGCAAGCAAGCCAGCCCCTCCCCTTAACCTCTCAGGTTCAGACACGCCCTCAGTTGCCCAGGTAATTACCCACTGATATGGTGATGAACTTCTCTCCACCTCTGAGGATATGCAAATATACCAAAGCCAGGTGAGATACTCTGGAAATGTTACACTTTTACCCACAGGGACGAAGGTGATGGAGGCATGAACCTCTATTTGCACTATAAACCCATTGTACTATTTGTATTAAGAATGCTTATATGTACTATAGCACAAAACACATGGTATGATCCTGCTTATAGAAAAATGAAATGTTCACTTATGTATATGAACTTGTACCACAGGGAAAGATTTACAAGGGCAGCAATCTAGCCCGGGTGGCTCCCCTCCACCTCGCCCCCCTCCTCAACACAAACAAACAAAAAAAAACACTCCCTTCGTTTCCCACTCTGTCGAGCACCGGTTCCCAAGGTTCATTCCCTAAACTCTCTCCCCCTTGCCTGCTTGCTTGCTGTGCACGTAGGAATGTTACAGATATGGAGGCAGAAAGATACATATTGCTCCCTTTTCCTTTGTTCGGGGCTCAGACTTTTTGGGAGAGCACTCCCCTCTGAGCCCGCCGGTGTGAAATAAAGCCTCAACACTCCAAGACCTCCAAGTGCCGCTTGGTTTTTCCGTCAGTGATCCAGTCCAGGTTTTTTCAGTATTTTCCATAACAGTAGAAAAACAAGAAAACAAAACAGCATACAAAAGTATTAAAAGTGGTTAGGGGAAGCAACGGGATGAATGGATTAAATGAAATGTGGTCTCTCCATGCAATGGAGGATATGCAGCCTCTACAAGGGAGGAGTTTCTGACACAGGCTGCAACATGGATGGACCTCAGTAATATTACACTAAGTAAAATAAGCGAGACACAAAAGGACCCTTCCAAGAGGTTCCTAGAATAGTCAAAAGACAGAAAGTAGACTGGTTGCCAGGGGCTTGGGGAGGCAGATGGGGAGTTAGCATTTAATGGGAACAGAGTTTGAGTTTGGTAAGATGAAAAAGTTGCAAGATGGATGGTGGTGATGGGTGCAAAACACTGTGAATACACTTTAAAATGGTGAAAATGGTTAAATTTTATTTTTTGTGCATTTTACAATAAAAAATTAGTTGGGGAAGGTGACAATTTAGGAAACCTATGAGTTTTCCATATTATTTGACTCTTTACAGTGAGGGTGCCTCTATGAGATTTAAATAAGAAAGAGGGGAAAAAATGAAACCTATGCAAAGTTTGGAGGAGAAATTCAAATTGCTCTGGGGAAGGAAAGAAAAGAGAGTAAACAGAAAGAAGGGGGAGAGGGAACATGCCTGGCACAGCGAAGCCAGGTCACAGAGGGGAGCCTATGGAAGGGCAGGGAGGTCTGGGAGGCCAGAAACACATAGTGGGCCAGAAAACAAAGTTGTTTTGCTGAAAGGTGTGTGCCATACCTACACTGTGCACACCCACATGATAGCTTGGCCCTCAGGAGAGAGCTTCAGTTTGCCAAGAAACAAGCTCAAAAACATTGTAAAAGCTTATCTTATATCAGATGTTGCTTTTAAACATTCATTGCAAACCCCGGGAGGAGCCTCCAGTTTCCCAGAATCCTCCTGCTGTCCCCTTGAACAGCATGCTGTGGTATGTGTGACAGGGCAGCTGTGACCCTCGGCAACCCGTCTGGTCCCACAGTAACAGAGTGGGACCATGAGGAGTCAGCCTGGCAAGCCAGTCTTTGGAGGAGAACCCACACTGCAGCTGGGAGCAGCAGTCTGGAAGATGAGCCCCAGGGCTGACTAGGGTAGCTGTTACATGCACAGGAAACTGCATGAACTCTTTCCTTTTGGAGGAAAACCATTTCTGGGCTCTTATGTCCTGGGAGTGCCTGACCCTGTACAAACTTGCCACTATACACACACAGCACTCACAGAACTGTGCTGCCACAAACCCACCCCCCAACACCTACTTTAACTTCAAAGGCTGGGGAGGAAGGACTAGCCACGGGGACCTAGCACTGCCTAGGTGAATCAGTGAACAGAGAAGTTTTATTTCTGGTCTCCTATGGAGCATTTTACTTTGGCAGAATGTTAAAATATCATGAAATCAGGATCACTGCCTTCTGACACATGATGAGATCAAATCCAGGAGTACAATGTGAACATTCAAAGAAGTACCAGAGTCCTTAATCACTTGGGAAAAAATAATATGAGATTTTGTCTATGCTCTTATTACAACCCTGAAATTATGAAGTCAATAAACAAAAACTGGAGAGGATGGAAAAGTGTTAGGATAATGGCATTTTTTATCTTTTGTTTTTTTTTGTTTTTTGAGGGGAGTTTTCTTGGTGTCATACCACTGCCATCATTACTGAATACTTAATCAACAGTTTCTCATGTATGCATTATAACAGCAGCACAGAAATTATCCCTACTCTGTGGATGAGCAAATGTAAGATCAGAAAGGTAAATGACTTGATGACAACCACACAGGAAATAAGCTGCCTGCTGGTTTCCAACACCCATGTGCCTCCCCTCTGTCCCTAAGCAGGTTGTGCAATTCACAAAGAAGTATAGTCTATCTGACCCAAATTAGTCATTTGGATATTAGAATTCTGTTCCATATTTTAAGCTGCAGTTACCAAAACTGAAAAGGAAAAGAGACAACAGCCTAGGAACTAAACTGCCAAGATGGGTAACAGATACGTGAATAAAGGGATATGATAGAAGCAGGTATGACTTAAAGTAGCAGATCCTTTTTGCACTCAAAATCATTGAGGCCTCCACACAAAAACCTGCACATGGATGTCTAGAGAAGTTTTATTCATAACCGCCAAAACCTGCTGGCAGCCAGGATGCCCTTCAGTAGGTGAATGGATAAACAAAGTGTGGTTCATCCAGACAATGGAATATTATGCAGCATTAAACAAAATGAGCCATCAAGCTGTAAAAAGGCATGGGGAAAATCTTATGCATATTACTAAGGAAAGAAGTCAATTTGAAAAGGCCATATACTGTATGTTTCCAACTATATGACATTCTGGAAACAGTGAAAACATCAGCTGTTGCCAGGGGCTGGTGAAGAGCACAAAGGATTTTTAGGGCAGTGAAAATACTCTGACATCATAACGATGTACACATGTCATTATACATTTGCCCAAACCCATAAAATGGGCAATACCACGAGTGAGCCCTACTGTAAAACATGGGCTTCGGGTGAAGATAATACGTTCATGTAGGTTCATCCTTGGTAACAAATGTACCATTTGATGAGTGATGTTGATAATGGGGGAAGCTGTGCATGTGTGGGGGTAGGGGGTGTATGAAAATCTCTATATCCTCTTTTCAATTTTCTTGTAAACCTACAAGTGCTCTAAAAAAAATTAACTCTTAAAAAATTATTGCTGCTCCTAAATATCTACTGATATTTACCATAATTAGAAATTATGACATAAAAGTTGTTTAAATATACATTAAACATGTGAAATTAACAGTAATAAAGGATTAAACTTTTAGGGAAATGTATTTTTCCAAAATAAAAAAAAAATTCACAAAGAATGGCATTGTTCTGCATTTTTACAAATCATTTTAATGGAAGGGATTAAGAGAAGATGGCTGGATTCTGTATCCGCTTCTAAATTGGTTGGTTGGGATATTACACATCCTGTGGCCTCTGGAAACCTCCACTGTACATTTGTGAGAAAATCAGAATGAAAAGACAGGTAACATCTTAGTATTATTAAAAAGTAGTTTATAACTTCGAGTGTCCTGAGACAGTCAGGGTACCTGCAGGAGTCCCTGGAGCAACCACACTTTGAGAACCATGACTTAAGGATCTATGTGGGAGGGAGAGGGAAAGTAGGGGGATACTCAGGGACACACCCACCATCTCGCACACCTGACCAGCCCCTTCCAAAAGCCTCCCACCCCGACCCCGCACTAAATACCTCCAGTGTAGGAGCCCCAACTTCTCCAAGGACACACGACTTCCACTCCAGACATCCCCTTACCTCCTAACATTGGTTCTTCGGCAGTAAACTAAGGGTGGGCTGACTCATTAATCCTCCTCGGACGTTTTAATCAGGGGCTTTCTTAAACTCCAAGGCACGGTTTAAGAGCAGACTTTTCAGACTGCCTGGGATGGGGTCAGCTTCCTAGCAGAGCGTTAGGAGAAAGGGCCCACAAGACAAGTGCTGAGTTCTGGTCCCGACTGGCCGGTCATTTGAGTCATTTCATTTTCCGCATCTGCAAACTTGAGCTGCACTCACCCCACTGCCCATTTCTCAGGGGTGTGGTGGCATCAAGTGACCTCGTGGACCTGAGCCCACCTTACAGCCATGTCCCGCGTGGCCCTCAGCGCGGTCCTGGCCTCCCACCCCGTCCCAGTTTTTCGGCCGCTTCCCAGCCACCGCGGTGGGACACCGAGGGGCCCACACTCCAACAACTGAGCCTTAGAAGCAAGGCCGAACCTGCCAACCAGGGTTCTGGGCAGAGCACCGCCCCTGCGGCTGCGGGGCCCGCGCTTCGCCCCGACTCTGTGCTAAGGGGGCTGCTGACCGGCGGAGGACCTGCGGGGTCCGGCGGGCGGCAGCGGGGGGCTGCCGCACCCTTGGGAAGGAGAGTGCCGCACCTGAGCAGGTGAGGAGGGCCCTGCCTGTGGGCGCTGCCACACCCCGTCCCTCGCCCGGAGCGCACCGGGCAGCGCCCGCACCGACGCGCGGGGACCGCGGGACACGGCGGGCCGGGGACCCGGGGAGGCTACAGCGCGGTACCTGTGCCTGAAGAGCGGGCAGCCGTCCAGAAGCCTGAGCACCTCGTTCTTGAGGCCCCGGAACTCGCTGTCGGGCACCGGCTCCGTCTGGCTTTGCGCGCGGACGGGGAGGCCGGCGTCCGCCCGCGCCTCCTCGGAGCTGCCCGCCGGAGGCCCGGCGCGCAAGGCCGGTTGCTCCACGCCCCGCAGGCCCGCCCCCTCCGCCCCCGCCATCCCGCCCCCGCCCCCCCGCGTGCTCCAGAGGAGCCCCAAACCTTCCCTCCCAGCCGCGGGCCTTTAGTTTCTGCTGCCCGTGGCCCCTACTCAGCTGTCCTTCGGTCTGTGAGCCCACAAGAAGCAAGTATTAGAACCCTAGATCGTGTGTTGGTCAGGTGGGTGGGGCACGGGAGTCCTGGCGGCTGACTGAGGCATTTTACTCCGACGACCTCGTGTGCCAGCCCCTTGCCTGGCTCCAAAGACCCAAGACGGCCCGGTCGGTGCTCTGGCCCCAATTCAGCGGCAGCTCAGCTCAAATCGATGCTGCCCCCAAACTGGGCACTACAGTGAACTTTATTATTACTGAAATCTGGGGGTAGCCCGAGCCTGCAGCCACCGCAGCCCCCTGCAGCTGCGAGATGCAGACAGAACAAGGCAATGAATGTGGACACTAAACTCCCAGGACCCTCCTTTCTTTGTAGAGGCCAGTATAGGAAATGAGTTACAGCCTCTTGTACAAATGTTCCTTCCTCCCCTCCTGCTCATACACTTTATTGATTCCCCTTTTAAATACACAGGAAATGCTAGCTGTCCCCTTCCAAAGATCGCTCTGCTGGGGAGATGACTGTTTTGGGTGTGGTCAGGCAGTTGGGGTGCTATCTGCTGTCATTCAGTTAATGGATGTCACCTGTATCACCTTCCTATGGCTTGTGTGACAAAAATTACCACAAACTGAGTGGTGGGACACAACACAACGCATTCTCCCACAGTTCTGGAGGCCAGAAGTCCACAGAGGACCTTCCAGGACTAAAGTCAACGTGCTGGCAGAGCTGCAGGCCCTGTGGAGGCTCCAGCGAAAAATCCGTGTCCTTTGCTTTTGCAGCTTCTAAAAGCTGCCTGCATTTGTTGGGTCCTGGCTACTTCCTCTGCCTTCAAAGTGCATCACAACAACCTTGCTTCTGTCCCTGCCTTCTTCTGACCTTGGCCTTTTGCTTCCCTCCTACAGGGACTCTTGTGATTACATAGCCCCACCCAGATAATCTGGGGTAATCTCCTTGGTTCAAAATCTGTAACTTAACCATACTAGCACCACCCCTTTTGCCTTGTGAGATAACATCCAGGATCTGGGGGTTAGGAGGGAACTTTGGCAGGCCATTATGCAGTTAATGAGGCTTTGTTCTCCCCCGTATTGGGAAGCCTGGAGGTGTGAGAGTCCTAAGGGCCAGTTCAGTGGCTTGATACAGGGACCCAGTTTTTCTTTTCATCCTCCTCCTGCCCCACCATCCTTTTTCAGTCAGCTTTATCTTTTTTTTTCTTTTAACTTGTCTCCTCTTGATCATAAAATGGATGCTGCAGCTCCAAGTGCCACATGGTACCAAGCAGAAGGGGAGGGTTTTCCTTCTGTATCAGTCAGGAGAGACTAGTAGTAAGAAACAAATCCAAAATGACTCCGCATACGCTGTGGTCACAAATCCAAGCCTTCAGGTTTATAGAGATGAGTTTATTTCTCATCCACGCCACATGGGGGCTTTTCTCCATGTCCCCTCACTCCACATCCTGGCTGACAGAGCAGCCATCATCGTGTGGCCACACAAGTACTTAAACTTCTAGCTGGAAAGGACATGTAACTTCCACTCACAGTCCACTGGCCAAAACAGTTCACTCCTGACTGGGATGAGGGGAAGTACCATCGTGGACATGCCCAGAAGGCCAACACCCAAGATAACTATGAGCAGCACTTTGACTACTAAATCTGCCTCTTTGGTAGCCAAATATTTGTCTCACTCTCCCTTCCACAGGCAAAATACACTCTCCAGTCCTCAGAGGAGGCCACCAAATTCCCATACTGTCCCAATATCAAGTCCAAGGCCGCTGGGGAATACATGGAAGTCTCTGCATCAAGTCAGAATGCGGTTCTTCTTCATTCAAAGATCTCCAAGCTAAAACATAAGTTACTAACTTACCTTCCAAGTGCATGGAGCTTGAGTGAGAAAAAAACTCGTCATAAGCTACTGGGATTTTTTGGAGTGTTGTTCGTTACCCAACTAGAACCTACCCTTGTCCTGGATGACACTGGAAGAATGTGGCTGCTGATATAAAATATATACATCTATATGCACGTGCACTGGCTTGGGGACTGAGAGCTCCCAGGCCGTGAGGACACTGATAACCAAAGCTGAATGGCAGGAGGTTCATGCTGTGAAGTGACAAACACTTGATGAAACTGTCACCACTAGGTGACATACCTAAGGAACTCACTGCTCCAGGAGAAGATACTGAAAACACAATGTTAGCTTTGCACATCAGCTGCTATTGGCTGTGTTTGACAAGATGGTATAAAAAAAGAGTTGAACTTTGAAAAGAACTGACCAGCTTGCAAGCAGAGAGGGAAGGGAACAGAGAGCCCACAAATTTTCAGGGACTTTCAGAGTTGGAAGAGGTAACTGCTTCCCAAGTCCTATCAGTAAAAGATAACACAGAGAAGTGTTTTGAGCAACAAAGGCCAATTAAAACTCAGAAAGCTTGTTGTGTATATGTACCACATCTTCTTTATTCATTCTTCTATTGATGGACACTTAGGTTGCTTCCCTATCTTGGAGATAATATATATTTATACATATGTGTGTATGTGTGTGTGTATACACATATCTCCATGTATATATGCATGCGTATGTGTGTCTTGGCTATATATACATGTATGTCTTTGCTTCCATATCTCAGCTTGTAAATAATGCTGCAGTAAACATAGGGGTGCCTACATCATTTTGAATTAGTGATTTTGTTTTCTTTGGGTAAATACCCAGAAGTGGAATTACTGGTTCACATAGTATTTCTTTGTATGGTGACAGATAGTAACTATATTTAGCATAGTAAGCATTTTGTAATAAATGTAGTTGTGAAATCACTATGTTGTGCACCTGAAAGAATATAATATTGCATGTCAGCTATACTACAAAAAAAATGAAAAGAAAACCCTGGAAACTCAAACTCCAACCCTTAGCCCTTATGGCAAGAATAGAATCAAGAGTTTGACCTGTACCCTGTTAAGACCTCTGAATGGTATTTGGGAGTGCCCAGCGAGGCACCTCTCACTCTGGGACCTGTCAGACCAAGCAGCTGCCATCTGAAGCCTCACAGCCTCAGAATACAGAAGAGTGGCTTGAATCACCCATGGGCTCGAAAAGGTACACCAGAAGTGACAAGCACCACTCTGTTCACATGTCAACCCTCCTCCAGGGAACAGAGAAGTGTAACGCTTTCAGGTACCCAGAGCAGGGGGGACCAAAGTACCTGCCAGCCAGCCTCAAAGAATCTTTCAAGGAACCTGTGAATCACTGAAGGAAGTTTTCAGGGAAAGTTGTTGAAGAAATGACTCAGTAGAATTGCCCTGGGGTCTCCTGGCCTTGATGAAGCCCAATGCCCACTGTATTAGTTTCCTAGGGCTATCATAACAAATTACCACAAATTGGGTGACTTAAAACAACAGAAACATGTTCTCCCATGGTTCTGGAGGTTAGACATCGTCTGAAATCAAGGTGACAGCAGGCTCCCGGGAAGAATCCTTCCTTGCCTTTTCCTAGACTCATGGGGCTCCTGGCAATCTTTGGTGTGTGCCCTGGCTCTAGCTGCACCCCCTCCACTTTCCTCATTCATGGGTCAAATGACCTTCTTCTCTGTGGATTTCTGTCTTCAAGTCTCCCTTTCCTTTTAAGGACACTATCACTGAGTTTAGGGCTCACCCTAATCCAATATGACCTCATCTTAACTTGATTACATCTGCAAAGACCCTATTTCCAAAAAGATCACATTCTGAGGTTCCAGGTAGACATGAACTTCTAGGGAATGCTATTCAACCCAGCACACCCACCCAAAACCAATCACTAAAAAATGAGAAAGAAATGGAAGTAATGACCATTATTGGCTGTCTCACCTGGGAATTTCAGCTCTGGGCAAGTTCACTATATGGATTTGATGAGATCAAGAAATGACAACAGAACATTCTTGGGGTGAAAGGATTTATACCCAGCTTTACTCTCTGATGGTAGGTGAGCACTAGGATCTCATCTGCATCCAGAAGCCTGCAGGTCCATAATCCACCTCCATCTCTGCCTCTGCCCAGAGCACTGGGCAGAACTCTATACAGTGACTCAGCCGATAATAGCTTATTTCCTATAGGTGTGGGAGCAGTAGCCTAGCAGTAGGCCAATTACATCATCAAGTAGTTTAGGATCAGGTGTAAGATCCTGGCCATAGAAACTTCCATTTTCCCCACATTGGTTTAAATCAGTGGTTTCTACATTGGCTGCACGTAAGACTAACCTTGGGGTTTTAAAGAAATGCTCAGTGGTGTGCACTCACGTGCATGCACACGAACACACACAAAACCAGTAAATCCAATGTGTAGAGGTGAGGCCTAGGTGTCTGTATTGTTTAAGTCTCCCAGGTGATTCTAATGTGCGTCCAGGGCTGACACCTTTGGCTGAGGTTAGTGATTCACAGCTTTGCTACAAGGAGACTGCTTATTATTAGGACAATTGGGAAATTTTAAATAAGGTGGATTAAATAATATTATTGTATCATTTTAATTTCCTGTTTTTGATCATTGTACCATGAATATATAAATGAATGTTCCTGTTTTTAGGAAATTAAAGTTGAAATATTTAGGGATAAATAGGCAACTTTCTCCAAATGAGTCAGGAAAATAATGTGCTTGTCTATATGTATACACACACACACACACACACACATATACGGAGAGAAGCAGAAGAAGGGGAGGGAGAGAGAATAAATAAAATATGGCTTCCCTGGACTGTTAGCTAGGACTTTCTCAGTTGTAATAAAAACCAATTTGAACTCTCCTCAGTCAAATGGAACTACATTGGCTCACAAAACTTAAGGGAGGTTTGGTATGGATGAAGTGAAGGTTCCTGTGGCCAGGATTCTCACCTGGCCCTGGTTGACTAGCTCACTACACATGTGT